GCAAATACTTCACCTACACCAAAATAATGGCATCTTTAGAACTATTCAAGGGAGTGCAAATACACCAGATAGAAAAAAAAAAAAGAAAAAAAAAAGGGTTCTATAATAATAAAGAGTTTAGTTGAATCTGTATTTAAAATAACAAGGGATGATAATTGATAACACGGGCATCCATGTTAGTAGTATCCAGTAACACAAGCTTCAAGAAAATCAACAAAGACATAATAATAAGACTTAATTTCTAGGTTAGCATATAACGATGACACTATAATATACTATTTCCATTCCATTTTATTTGATATTTTAGCAATATATATATATATATATATATATATATATTGATTGTTTAACATCTCTATAATTTAAAATGGAATTCTTTAATATTTATCTTTTCAAAGTATATCTGGATATAAGTTAGAAGTATTTTTTAGCTTTTTTTTACTGAAAATAATAAGTATTTTTTTAAGTAAAGAAACTCTCAAAAGTTCTCTTAAACTTATATATCCAAATAGTTATTAATCTCTATAGTTTAAGATATATCTTAATCTTTATATTTGTAGTTTTGAAATTCTTTTAGTCCCTATTGCTAATTTTTTTGTATAATATTGTCTATTTTGTGTTGTCTTAATAAAAGTCTTCAATTTTGTGAGTATAAAAAAAATTTCTAAATAGAAATCGTAAGCGAGGATTAAAAAAGGTACAAAGTGTCAAAAGATTTAATATAGAATAATTTCAGAAAAAAAATAAATTCGACATCAAATACATAAAGTTAAGTTAATAAGAGACTATAATAATAAAGGTTTTGTTCCTTATTCTTTAATTGTACATATGGCTGAAAAATTGAAAAATTTTAAGGTGAAGAAGCTAGTTAAGTGGTACAACTTTTTTTTTTTAAGGAGAAGAAATTTAAGACATTTCATTCATAATAGAAGCAACTATACAGGTGGGAATAAAATCGAAATGATGGGGATTAGCATACAATCTTGATACCCTAGCTAGTATATGGACAACATGATTTGCTTGTCTCCTAACAAACCTAACCTCAAGGTTCTTGTGTAAGGTTAAAAGAGAACGTCCTTTGTTAATAAGGCGTCCATACTTAGAAGAATGGCTTATGGAATCATATAGATCATCCACAACCTGTTTACAATCAAGTTCAATCAAGACTTTCTCATAATGGGAGTTTGCTAACCAAGTGATAGCCTCTAGACAAGCTATCGCCTCAGCTTCATTTGGCGATGAGGAGCTGTTATACCAACCAGAAGTGGCAGAATTGAATCTTCCTCGATCATCCAGTATACAAAAGGCGAAACCACAACAATTTGAGTCATTAAAGATCGCTACATCCACGTTGCATTTCATGTATCTTGGTGGGGGTTTGGTCCAGCAGATTGGATCATTTATTAGTGCCTTTGGTATTTGTTGTGTTTCTCAAGTAGCTATCCACTCTATTATTCGTTGTCGTGCAAGGAAGAAAACTATATGAGGTGGAGTCACCTTGTTATTCCATAGTTTGAAATTTCTCATACACCAGATGCCCCACATCAAACATAAGAGGTCTATTGCTTCCGAGAGAGACAAGCATTGGAGCAACTGAAATATAGCTTGTTGTATTCCATCATTGTCAGCAATTACTTGAGAAATCTTAGGCCAAAATCTTGTTGCAATCCATATGTCCTTTGCTGCCACGCACTCGAAAAAAACATGCCATTCATTTTCAATACCTACATTGCATGTGGCACAAAGCATAGTACATGGCACATGCCTGCGATGAAGATTCAATCTTGTAGGTAGACATCCTCGTAGTGCTCGCCAGAGGAATATCTTCATCGTGTTAGGGGCTTTCATACTCCAAAGCAGCCTCCAATTGCCTAGGGTTCGTAGATCAACATTCAAAGAGGTATGTTTCATTAGTTGGTAGTATATGCAGACTTAACAGTATACATACCATTTCTACTATGTGACCAAGAAATCATATCAAAATCTTGGAGATGCAAAAGTGGAATAGCTTGATTGTCTTTTTGGTTAAAAAGTGTCAAGAGAAGAGGGGTATTCCAACACCCCGTATTTTGGTCTATAAGATCATTCACTGTAAGGTGATCAAACCACTACTACAAGATGCATATTCTACATCGGTTCTCTAAAGTCATCTACATCGGTTCTAAAACCAATGTAGAATAGAGCGATGTAGAAAATGAATACGTTTTTACATCGGTTCTGAAAAATCGATGTAGATCTAAGCATAAATCTACATCGGTTCTCTAGACAACCGATGTAGATTTAAGCATAAATCTACATCAGTTCTCTGGAGAACCGATGTAGATTGCATTTAAAAAAAAAATCATGCCTATTTTTGGATTATTTTCTGATTACCTGCAATGAACATATATATAGCTTTAGAAATTTGTTTACAAATTACACAAAAACAATTTGAAATTATGGAAGTAACTTGGTCAATCATTCATAACACAAAACAAGTTTTATCTTTTAAAACAAACGTGCAAATGTATTCCTCTCATTTGGAGTTGATTGATAAGCTTACAACTTGGAACATGAGTTCAGAGTATTATACCTCTGCCATTCAAATGCGTGCACCTTATAATCACTATAAAATGAAAATATATTCACGTCTTTCTCTTGTACTTGCGAACTTAAATTGTAATACAACACAAATCCTGCGTAGTTTATAAAGCACAACAAAATAGTGCCACTAGTGAAATTTATCAATCATTAAAAACCTTGATGGAAATTTAAAACAGCCTCACTTAGCAGTTATGTAAATAAATGATGTAGAAGAAAGATAAACATATTATCTTAATTAATTTCAGGTTCTAGCCCCAGAAAGGTCCCCTCTCACATAATTACAATAACTTGCTTCAAACAGTAATTACATTATGTTCCTCAATCTATCCATCGCTCTCCTTTAGTAAGAACTCAATTACGAAAGAGAACATACTATGACATCAAATTATTGACAGAATATACCGAGAATTCCACCAATAACCAAATGTGAGCAATAGCAATCAAGTCAAACAATTCCTATTCAATAAACTTGAAGTAGCATATTCAAGCACGAAGTGGCTATCATAGTTCAACTTTCTCTAAACTGATATTGTGCAAATGCGGTAGGAAACTACATACTACACTTTAAAGAGATATGATAAGGTTA